CCTCAAGATGGGTGGTGACCATGGTGGCCATTTAGAAGTCGGCCATCTTGGATACAACTTTTGTTTTTTCAATAGGAAGAGGGCCATGTGACACATCAAACTTATTGGTAATGTCACAAGAAAAACAATGGTGTGCTTGGTTTCAACACAACTTTTGTTTTTTCAATAGGAAGAGGGCCATGTGACACATCAAACTTATTGGTAATGTCACAAGAAAAACAATGGTGTGCTTGGTTTCAACGTAACTTGAACAGGATTTTAATATCACCAACCATTCCCATGTTATTACGGTGTATCCATATAAATGGCCCACCCTGTAGTCTGTTTCTGAGTGTTTGGTCAGAGACATTAACAACAACCCTTATGTAGGTTTTCACTTTCAGTAGTATCAATGTTTGTACAAGTAATGTCTATATGTTGATTCATGGTTTTCTTTGGGGGGTATCTGCTATAAAAAGACATGGCCAGGAAAATCTCCTTCATATTTTTCTGTGTTTAATCATCAGTTACTTTGACACAATGGCATCTGCTGTGATGCTGATGAGGTCTCAGAAGTGTTAGCTTTATTTATATACCTAGATTTACACTATTTCTCTATTGCAGAAAAAGTGTCACATAGTTTGGAATTAAATATTTGTAATTTACAAGGTTTCGAGGGTGCTTTCGACGGTACGTATCCAAGATAAATGACCATAAGTATATGTTTCTGACAGAGTCAAAATTAAATTGAATATAATCAGGACTTTCTGAATCAGAATCAGAATTAAATCCTTCAGTTTTGAAAATCTTGGATTTAGTGTAGCTAACTTTTTTTATTTTACCTCAGAACTCCTATGCAAGCAGTGCTCTAGTTAAACTGTGGCCATTTACTACCTGTATCATTATGTATTTTCTATACTGTAGTTGAAGCTGGTCAACCCCACACAGTACCGCTTTGAGCATCTGGCCACACAGCTGAAGTGGCGACTGCAGGAGGGCCGTGGCGAAGCTGTCTACCAGATAGGAGTAGAAGACAATGGTCTGCTAGTCGGCCTGACTGAGGCTGACATGAAGGCCTCACTCAACACTTTAAAGAAGATGGCAGAGAAGTAGGTCATCTTGTACAGTTTATTTGCTGACATTAAGACGTCACCAAAGAATATATAGAAGTGTCTTCACTCTGGTGTCACTCATTAGTTTTGGACTCCACATTGTTAGTGTCATGCTGGTTCTTTTGCAGCCAGAAATTACTATGTTTGGAGGACAGGGTGGCATGCTAAGTATCTGTTAAGCTTAGCAAGCTTGGTTAGCAAGCTTCATTCATAATATGGATCAGTGTAACATGTAGATTACTGATCCTGATTTTCTGGGGAAACATCGAACCATTCCCAGGCCATCTGTTGGATGTAATCTCTCCAGTAGGTCCTGGGTCTACGCTGGACATGCCTAGCCTGAAAACTATCCAGGAGGCGACAGTCTCAGCTGGCTCCTTTCAATGTGAAGTAGTATCGGCCTATCTGAGCCCCTCCTGAATAACTGAACTGTTAACAAAAACATCAGGACTAGATTAACAAATTTATTTATCAGCAACAGTGCTTCATCTGGTGACATGACTTGACATGACATGAAAGTTTGGAAGGAGCCACCCAACTCCATCAATATATGTCAAACCACGAGCTCCATGAATCCGTACAGTCTGGCTTCAGAACACACCACAGGACTGAGACTACTCTTATCAAAATAGCTAATGACATCATGACAGATGATTTTGGCCACATCAGTATCCTCAAGTTCCCAGATCTTTCTGCAGCCTTTGGCACTTGTTCTCACACCATCCAGCTTTCACATATATCCAGATATCTTGTCCTCACTGGTACTGTAATCTCCTGCTTTCAGTCCTACCTCTCCAACCCAACACAGTTTGTCAGATGGTCTCTGCCTGTGTTGTTACACACAATGTTATCTCAGCACCAAACCCTCCACCCAGTTCCCCCCGCAATTGCTTATCAAATGTCTGCATTGCTTCAGAACATGGATGTCATCTAACCTACTTCAGCATCAATAGTAATAAAACTGATCTCTTGGTTCTGGCCCCCAAAGCCCTACTGTGGAAAACTGGTGTTCCACTCATTGTCGCAGACAGACGCCTCCTCTCACTTTCCCCAGAAGTTCACAACCAGGGTGTTGTTTTGGACTCTGCACTTTAAGTCCAGGCTTATATCCAATCTGCCACAATCTCTCTCAACTTTGGCCATCACTCACTGACTCAGATAACTTCATCCATTAAGGCTTTGTCACCACCTGGCTGGATTACTGCAGTCGGGCCCTGTTCAGAATGTCCAGCAATCCCCTGGACAGGCATTGTCCAAAACTCAGCACTTTCTAACACACACTAAGCTCTGGAATTAGAGAAGGTTCAGTATATCAGTATTGATTATTAAATATGTAATGCGACATATCCCATCGCAATCTTACTTAAAGTACTAAATACCCAACTCTATGCTGTACTCACCATTAGCAGTCTTGCTAATCTTGAATGTTCTAATGTTTGTTTGTTTATTTAATTGTTTTTGATAGTAATGTAAAGCACTTTTAATTTTTGTAGTTAACTTTCCACACATGACACAGAATGCCTAATTACATTTTCTTAGGTACATAAATCTACAATCATTAGGCAGGTTTCCAGTCACTGTTTGAAATAAATTGAAACTGGGAGAAGCCGTCTAAGAAAAATTATTACTGCTTTGCTCAGTAAATTGATTGGGATCAGTGTAAACTAAATGAAAATTGAATGATAAAACTTAAGTCTTTTTCTTTCATTTCAGAGTCGGGGCTGACATCACTCTCCTCCGAGAGAGGGAGGTTGACTACGACTCAGACAGAAACACGCGCAAAATTGCAGAAGTCCTTGTTCGAAAAGTTCCTGATGATCAGCAGGTTAGAGTCTGTCTGTTACACATGGTAGAGGAAAAAGAGTCCAGTTAAATCTGGCAAAACAACAGTGGTGTCAAAATACAGCAATACTCTAAAAAGGATCACAGCATTGCCCATTTAGGCTTTAACTATAGAGAGCACCAAGGGTTCTTTTTTTAAACAGTGCTGTTTAATGGTTATGAAAATATGATCCCATTTTCTGTCTTGCTGTTTTGGTCTGCAACAGTTCCTGGATCTGCGGGTGGCAGTGCTAGGCAATGTGGACTCTGGGAAGTCAACCTTGCTGGGTGTCCTGACACAAGGCGAGTTGGACAATGGACGAGGCCGTGCACGGCTCAACCTTTTCAGACATTTGCATGAGATCCAGACCGGACGCACCTCCAGTATCAGCTTTGAGATCTTGGGCTTCAACAGCAAAGGAGAGGTAATCCCTTTGCCACTTAGGATATTAGCAATATTCAGAAGTTTACATTCACTATGGACATGAATTCATGCTACCTTGAGGCTTTTAGTGATTTCTTTGAACTGTGCTTTTTCCAGGGTGGAATGATTGTACAGTATACATCTTTAATGACTTTATAAACAACAAATTTAAATCTTTTAACAAGTGGTGTAGAGGGTTCTAGTGTCTTTTAACTTGATATAAATTTCTTGTCACATTTTTGGAGCATGCTTTTGGAATGGATAAAGCAGGCCAACATTAAGCTTCAAGGAATGGTCTTTGCCACACCCTCAACACAAAAATATAAATTTGTGGACTATGCTTAAAAGCCAAATTGATTTCAAGAAAATCACTTCAAATACTCTAAAATTCTAGAGAGTGGTCTAATATTCAGCCAGAAGTAGGCCAGCATCTTTTTAATTGCTGCCAGAAGCATCTGGTCAATGTGGGACATTTAACTTTTGTTTGCTCTGTTTTTTGAAACAGCTTTGTAACTTTATTTAAAGTTCAGTTTGAAATTTTGCATAATGCTCTTCTTTTACCATTGCTAAATTATTTAGATGTGTTAAGGACTGTATTCTGTTATCTTTTGTTTATTAGTAGGTTCTAAAATATATTTTGCCTTCACAATCTCTAATGAAATCCTGAAAAAAAAATAATAATAAAGATTTATGGTGTATAACAATTTCACCTTTAGAAGCCCAAAATTACCATCGTGCCCATGAGGAGTGTATGGAAACTTTTCATTACAACTATATATCAGATATTGACTAATTTATTTCATGGGTCATATTTCTGCTTTGTAGATTGGCCTCTCACCATAGTGTTAAATGCAGTGTGTCAGACACAGTGAAGAACTACAGCATTTGAAATTTGGCATGTATATTTTTAATGTGCTGCCTAATTGATTCTCTACCTGACTCTTAAAAATCAGTCAGGTAGAGAAAAAACATTTTGTGGTTGTTGTTGCCATTGCTGCACACCACAACTCAGGGTATTAGCATATTTATATTTGTAAACAATCCCTGACAATAAACAATCAAACTGTAAAAACAAAACAAAAGACGTGTTTTATTTCAATTCTGTCCTTTGGTGCAGCCTGTCTTGTATGTTACCTGTAAAAGGTTGTGAACTACAGTGAGTCCAGGACAGCTGAGGAGATCTGCGAAAGTTCTTCCAAGATGATCACCTTCATCGACCTTGCAGGACACCACAAGTATTTAAAAACCACCATCTTCGGCCTCACAAGTTATTGCCCTGACTTTGCCATGCTGGTGGTGAGCGCTAACACTGGTATTGGTAAGTAGCCTGTATTTTGTTTTTTTTGTTTTTTAATATCTAAAACCTGTGGGTAAGCCACAGATTTACCCATCCAGTCAATTGAGAACATGCAAACTCCAGAAAAAATGGCCCAGGAATACCAAGAACCTTTTTAGAGACTTAACAACTGCATCACTATGTCCAAAAGATAAAAATTCTATGTGTAACTTTTGTAGGAATATTGTTTCTAGTTGGACGTGATTGTAGCAGGGTTCTTTTGCTCTTCCAGTGCCTTAACGCAAACTGATAAGTTATGAACAGAGCAGGTTTCTCTTTGAATGTGTAGGGTTTCATTTGATGAAGACATTATCTAGGAGTTAGTTAGATAAAAGAGGTGTCATGACGTGGTATAAGAGATACAAGAAACAAAGGAGATGTGTTGTCTGTCCAAACACACTTGTATGCTACCTGTCTGGATCACTTGGAACCCCGGGCGAGCAGATAGTAAAAAGTACCTGGTAACAGGAACTAATGGAAAACCCTATAAAAACTGGCGATCGTGCCGACTTGCTCTGAGTAGGTACTAATGGAAAAAGGGCTTTGAATTCTGTTTTTATAATTATTCTTTACTTGCTTTCAGACCATTATGCGACCATCTGCAGCTGCAGCTGAAAGAATAAAAACTAAAACTGTCTTGTGCAAATTGAAACATTAGTCAAACAGAATACTCATCTACACCTCATCAGATTCTTCCGTGACTTAATGATAGAGGCATTGACAAGTCTGTTAACACACCCAGCATTTTTACAAGCTTTCCTTCATGTGTCAAATAGGCTACACTTTAGTGATAAAGCACCTCTTTTCTAGTCTTACTAACCTATAACATTTAAGACACAGAGTGATTTTAACAATAATCGACTATACAGTAATTTTTTTCCTCTCCACTTCTAATCCTGGTTACCAGTGTTTGGGTAAGTGAATCCAGATAACTGACAGATACTCTAGGTATGTTTAACTCACTTCATAGTACAGAGTCCTCTGACTACTTTCTAGGCACAAATAATTTGAATATTTAAAAATTAAATAGAATTGTTCTCACTTGGATCCAACTGCCTTGTTACGTTTAGATTTCCTATGCACATAAGATGCGAAACATCACAAGACAAGTGTTCTGGGGATTGAGTATTTTATTTTTTCCTTCATCCAGCTGGTACAACTAGGGAACACCTGGGCTTGGCCATGGCGCTGAAAGTTCCTATCTTCATTGTAGTCAGTAAAGTGGACCTGTGTTCCCGAGGCACTGTGGAGCGAACAGTCAGACAACTAGAGCGAGTTCTGAAGCAGCCGGGCTGCAACAAGGTGCCCATGGTGGTGTTGAACCCTGACGATGCTGTGAGTGCAGCACAGCAGTTCACCCAGTCCACATGGTGAGTAAAAATACTCAATACTTATCAGCTACTGTGTATGGCGGGGAATAGCTTAATTGTACAGTGTATACAGCAGTATAAAAAAATTCACTAATAAATAGATAAAGCAGTATATAGTGCTGCAGAAATGATAAGTGAAGGTCATGGAAATACTGCTACGATACACAAAGCACAAAATAACTGTTCTATAATCGATGATAACATTTTCGGAAAACTTGTTTAAAGTCGAATTCATAAATCGCATTGCATTTTGGGTAATCACCACAATGTTGTTGTTCATGCACATCCAAAGCAAAGACTGACACCAACAGGTAATACGGAGGAAAATAAACTAATGAACACTAATATTAACATTGCACTGTAATAGTGACCTTGCATGGTCTACCTACAGTGGGATGCAAAAGTTTGGCCAACCTTGTTAATAGTCATTATTTTCCTGTATAAATCGTTGGTTGTTACAATAAAAAATGTCAGTTAAATATATCATATAGGAGACACACACAGTTAGGGTTGGGTGATATGGCCTAAAATCCATATCGCGATATAATTTGAAGCA